GTTTAATCATAAAAAATGATTACCAAAGAATTACCAAAGTGATTACCAGGGCCTGAGGTCAAAAAGAACAAAAAAATGGATTGAATTACTTAATTTGAAGAAATAGAAAAAAAGTGGAAAGATGATGAATTAGAGAAAAATTTTAAGAAAACCAAAACAACAAACAGTAAGAGAATGTACATTCACCGTCGGTGATACCAGCATGGAGGACCTAAACAAGCAATTCTTCAATGAAGATATACAAATAGCCAATAGGCACATGAAAAAATGCTCAATGTTGCCAATTATCAAAGAAATGCAAGTCAAAATGAAATGAGGTTATCATCTCACCCCAGTTAGAATGGTCATCATTCAAAAGTCCACAAAGAATAAATTCTGGAGAGGGTGTGAAGAAAAGTGAACCCTCCTAGATTGTTGGTAGAAATGTAGTTTGGTGCAGCCATTATAGAAAGCAACATGGAGACTCCTCTAAAGACTAAAAATAAACTTTCCATATGATCCAGCTATCCCATTTTTGGCCATATAGGGAGGGTACTCTTACGTGAAAAGATACAGGAACCCAATGTTCATAGCAGCATTATATACAATAGCTAAGGCATGGCAGCACCCTAAATGTCCATAGAAAGAGGACTGGACAAAGCAGTTGTGGTATATTTAAACAATGGAATACTACTCAGCTGTAAAAATGAATAAAATGATATTTGCCACAACATGGATGGACCCAGAGAATGTCAATTTGCATCAAATATGACAGAAAGAGAAAGAAAAGTACCATATGATATCACTCCTAATTAGAATCTTAAAAAAAGAAAGAAGAAGACACGTGGACTAATCTACAAAACAGAAAGAGTCTCACAAGCATGGTAAACAATCTTATGGTTATCATGGGGTGGGAGGGGATAAATTTGGGAGTTTGAGAATTGCAGCTATTAACTACTATGTATAAAATCAAATTTAACAAAGTCAATTTCTTCTGTATAGCACAGGAAACTATATTCAGTATCTTGTAATAACCTTTAATGAAGAAGAATATGAAAATGAATACATGCATATGTATATGACTGGGACATTGTGCTATACACCAGAAACTGACACAGTGTAACTGACTATGCTTCAATTAAAAAAAAAAGATTTTTACCCACACTTTCGGGCAAATAGGCTCAGATCCTAAACTACTAAGTCAGTAGATTATTATGTGTGGAAAATATGTGACCATTGAGTTTGGGACTATTCCAACTTTAATCTGAGAGAAACCGCAAGGGCCCACCAGTCCTGCTGTCCCTTTTCTTGCTGTCCCTGACTTACTCTGATTAATATTTTTCAAAATACAAGGTTTAGAGTTCATCCCTATCTTTTGCATGAATCTAAAATTCTGTTGTCAAATTAAGGACAAAGCAAACCTGAAACTTTAGTTTCTGTTAGTATACGTGAGATTGAAAGTGGAAGAAGGACAGGGCTGCTTTGAAATACGGCTCATGCTGAGAAATCACGTGTTGCTTTTCCAAAACAATAAAATGTGCTCTTTATTTCAGGTAACCCCAAAACAGTTCCTGAACAGTTGAATCTTCTCGTGAAAACAACTGACAACTTTACAACCCAGAGAGGTCTTCAAGTTTCCAGGCTCCACCCAGAAAATTTTTCACCTTGGGAGTTTAACCTAGCTTCAGTCTTGGCTGTAACCATTCCTTCCTGGGGAGAGCATGAAAGTTTCATTTTTATGTCAGATGAGGGCAGTTACCTACATGATAGCGACCTCAATTTTCAAGAGAGCATAGGGGGAACTCTGTACCAGAAGGTGCAGGATGCTCAGGATGACACAGTAAATTGTGCTCTCCAGTCCTCATGGGAAAACAGGATACCACTGATCCAAGAAAACATGTCACATGCAGGCTAAAATCAGTGCAAATGGATCTTACCTG